ATAATATAACCTATATAAATGGATATCATGGTTTTGCTTGTGTTTATTTTCATGCTATGCCTTTTTATGAGCTCTTATGGATTTTCTGTTGGTACATTTTTGCCTTTCTACATATTTCAATGAAGGCTGGTGTGACAGACCAAGGCCTACCAGGGTAGACCCCAGGATCACTGTGCAATGGCAACAAGTACAGTCTAAGAAGTATTATGTCCACCATTGAGGCCAAAGAATAGAAAACATATTCTCTATTCCCAATAAGGGGTCACAAAAAAGCCAGGAGAAAAAGGAAAAAAAGTATGAAGAAATGAGCATGGCAAGAATAATAGTACATAAGAAGATAGAATGCACCTGTTACCAGATATTAGAGCACTGTGCAACACAAATTGGTCTCTCCTTTGCATTTCACAAATGTTACTGGAAATACATTTGGAAATTTTAGCAGCAGATGGTGTCAATATAGAATGCGCAGAATCTAAAGCAGCAAACTGTACAGGATGCACATAACTAGTTCTGTATTTCACTGTGATATAGTAAATAAAGAAGATAGGGCAAATGGTCTCTTCTCATTGGTAACCTTATGTTCTTACCCATGAGAAATTAAAGGAGAATGGTAATGTTCAAGCTTTTATTTATTTATTTTACTTTAATCTAGCATGGTGTGGTTTAGATAACTGTCAACGACATTTAAATACAAAGATCTTGGGATATGGAACAGGAAGGGGAAAAAATAGAAACATTATAAATCTGTTGTATGCAAAACTCCTTATTGAAATAAGGTATTAACTGTACTTTACTTAACTGATAAAACTGATAAATGGAATTGCCTATGTACTTTTTTTTACTTTTATTATTTATTAATACTGTAAATACATAGTTTGTACTTCTAATTCTTGTCCCAGAAAACGTTCTTCAGCATTTGATGAGCTGTCTGTACTTTGATAAATTTATGAGATTCAACAAGATAGTGCTCTTTGGAGCCTTTTATATTATGTATTGCATAAATAATAATTCATCATATTTAATTTCCACCATAACATATTTAAATGTTCACACTGCATTTTTTTTAGAATCACCACATGGTGGCAGTATCTCACAAACTAAATCAGTGAAAAATGTTTTTAAAACAATGCTTTTAAAATATAGGACAATATGCCTGAATGTTTAATGTGCAGCTAAACAAGCTGTATACATTAATTATAATAAAACTAAAGAGAGCGAAACTGAAGCAAATGGAATCAATGCCAATAGGTACTTCACAGATGTTCCTGCATTGTTACAGATTTTTTTTTAAATGATATGCATGCAAGAGCTTTCTTGGCAGAAAATCAAGTTTATTATCGAGAAAAACTGAAATTCTCTGAGATTGCATTAAGAATAAAGAGATGGTTCAGAATAATGAAAAACGGGAGAAACTGCAATTTGCATGAAAATAAAGCGCACAAGCAAGCATGAGTAAGTGTCCAAACATCTGTATACAGTAACTAGCCAACAGCATCGGATAACAAGGCATACGGATTTGCTTAAGGATGTTTTTCCAGACGGATCCATAAGCACCAGGAAGCTGTCTAATTGTGGCATAAATGTGTATAGCCATGTATTCGCTGGTTTTCAGCCATACTGGGAGGGGTAGAGTCATTATTGTAATGGAACTTCTGAGGCAATCGTGTGTTTTCCTTTAATTAAAGAGTCGTGAGTGTAATCGAAGTAAACTGCAAACGAAGTGCTATCGATCAGCGGGGGACTACTTTCAATGTGTGTTCTAATACACCTGCGGTTTTACAATTAAGCATTCATGACATTTCCAACAACAATTATTATTACGTTTATATATGTATATCTTTACACAAATATCAACTTCCTGTACATTTATGTAAAACATAATATTAAAATGTGGTCGTTTCCTTGTGTATTTTCATTAAGCAGTGTATCTTTTTTTGTCTTTAACTAAAAGTGCTGAAGACCAGGTTTCAACTGGAGATCGCAGTTCACCCGATATCTGGCAAATAAAGGGTCAAGAGGGAGTTTGATATGCAAATTAGCCACGCATAGAGTGTGATGTTTTCCAAATAAAACAAGCACAGATCATATTTACGAGAGAAAATCAACAGTTTTCTGGTTTGAGTTAAACTTTAAAAGGGCCTCCTACGTCGTTTAGTATCTTTAATAGGTCTTGCCAAATGGCAGATGTTAAACTGCCAGCTAGTGAATGAAAAAAATAGAATCGTCTTCCATGTTATATAGTTTCTGGTACTCATATGTTTTTTAAAAAAAGTGAATTAAACAATCAAGTAAGTAATTTTTGTCAGTATATAAGTAAACCATATAAAATCTGTAAAACATTTCTCCTGATAGTTATCGTTAGGCAGATCATATACAGTAAGTCATTGTGCATGCGTTTGAACTTCTTTCATGCATGAGCGCTTAATGTCATAAAGTTCACACGAAGGCCTCGCCACTAGAGGGAGTGGTGAATGCCACAAGACCGATCCAAATGTTGTAATCTATGGGTGAAATTAAAAATAATATAGCACAAACAAAACACAGATCTTCAAGAATTGTAAATTGTAGAGAGGGGTTGTATCTATATTACCAAGGCGCATCCTTTGCTCCAGCATCTTAAAAAACCTAATGGTTTAATTACTGTATGTCTTTACTGTTTATCCGTTTATCTTGCCTTGTCAGCACTGAGAGTAACTCGTCTCTTCTTGTTACATTCAAAATACGGTACACTGTCAGGTTGTCTTTGCCATGGAAGTCACATTCTATATTAATCTCTTCTGTTTCTGTTTTCCAGTATTATAACAATTCTGACCATGATTTAACACCAATATATTTTGAGAGCTATAATGTACCTTGTTAATTAACAAAAGCCATAAAGCCAGCCTCGATAAATACTGTTAATCCAAAGTTTTCACAGCTGAAAACTAAAAATTCCCTCAATTTATTAAAAACCCTTTTCCTTCTGCTGAGAATTAAACAATTAGGTTTTGACAGAGGGAATGCAGTATCAGAATTCTGACAAATAGTGCCAAAAAGATCTTTATGCTTTGAATTCAAACACACTTCCTGGAACTCTATTTTAAGACCATACGGTAATAGAATGTGTTTATATTGTCTGGCACTATGATAAAACTTTTGACTATCTTGGCATGTGAACAGGGAAAAGATTATAATAGTAGCTCTTACTTGCTTGAGTTCAGCACATTTTCAAAGTGGAGCTGTTTCTAGGAGAAATACAGATCTTTAGGTGTTTTTTTTATTTTATTTGCATGCAATGAAACCTGAACCCACATCTTTTGATGCCTATATGTGGTTTTACTTAAAGGAGAAAATAAATCCTAAAACCACTTTAGGTGCTTGAAGGTATATCCCTCACTGTGACAATTAATAAAATAACATTTTGTGTCTGCAAACATTATTAAAAGTGTTTCACTTCATGCATTTTGTTTGCTGAACAGTTAAGAAATATAATATTTCTAACACCTGAGGTACAGTACATTTTGAATTTATTTTAAAATTGTAGACAATGTATGTAGAATATTTTTATTACCAGAAGAACATCTGGTAACCTACTGAATATGTCTGGTTACTTCATTGCAATTTGCTTTTATGCAAGGCAGAAGCTTGTTTACTCTCACTTATACATTGTGTGGACAAGGTCAGTTGTGTACCCTTTCATCAAAGATTTACATCCTTGGTGATTACTTCAGAAATGAGACAAGCCCCACGTCAGGTATCATAAGAGAGTTATTATTATTGTGTCCAGACAGGATATAATCTAACAACTTCCTGTACTACAGGCAGGCCAGGCCAGACACTGGACTTTTCACAACCAATGTCTTCATACATATAACATTACTGGCTGGCTTTCAGGATGTGCTTAATATATCCAAAGGTGTTATGACCTGATCCTCTTTCCTTTTACGCGTAACATGGACAGTGTGTGCTGCGGCACCGTCTTCCATAGAAGATCTGTAGTGTTTTATGAATTGTTTGAACAATTGACAGTTTGTACAAAAAGAAAGACGACTGTCATGAAGAATCTTGAAGAACTGAGCAATGTTGCTCTCCCTTTAGAGATGACCAGCTAGCCTACTTCAGAAATTTCAGGACATAATAATTCTTTCACAGGCCACACAACCTCATTGAGCAATAGTATTTTACCCTTGACTAATCTCTGCAAATCCATTGTACAACACCCACTGCCAAGGATGCACTCATACACATTCTATGCCAAGACTACTGACAATAAAAGTTGATCTCACCTACACAATGGTATAATATTTGAAAATGTAATAAGGCAAGTTACTGCATGTTGAGCATAAACTCTGTTCAGTGTAACGGGTGCTGGTCCAGGATCCCGTGAAGCAGAGTTCTGGACCCTATGCAGACGGTATAATCCGGAAGTAAGTGGAAAAGTATGACGGGGAGAAGACGACAAGGAGCAGGAGGGGTTGACAGACAAGGGGGTGTGACGATGGAGATCTGGTGTTCGGGAGGCGTGACCAAGGCGAACAAGTCCAAGGAGTCCAGGCAGGAAATCAAGGGCGAAGTCCAAAAGTCCAAAACAGGGTGATCCAAATGAATCGTGACAAAACAGAATTAAAAGCCAGAACCAGATCCAGTACAGGAAGAGGGAACAAAAACAGGATGATGAGGCCAGGCGCTCTGAGCCCCAGACTCATGTAGGTCAGGACGCGAATAGGAGACTTATGCCCTCAAGCCGCAGACGTAGGGTGACTTGGTGGTAGGCGGGCCTCTGGGCATCCGTTTCCCAATGCAGAGCCCAGAGTAGAGAGAGTGCCAGGCTTAAATAAGGAGGGGCAGGATTGAGGACAGGTGTACGGAATCAGCAAAATGTGTAAGAGCCGGAGCTCCCTTAAGAGGAGGGATTATGATTGTGGCAGTACCCCCCTCCTTTCCAGGGCGGATCTGAAACCCAAAACAAAGAAAGAAAACAGATGGAGTCCTGGACTTCTGGACTACCATCCGCGGGGTCCTTGATGTGGCACTGTATTCTGTAACAGAATCAGCAAAATGTGAAAGAGTTGGAGCGCCTTTAAGAGGAGGACTTACGATCGTGACAGTTGAGTATGTATAATTTTAGTTTAAAACATTTTCACCACCTTATTAGCAGTTATAATTACAATATATCACATTGTTTTAAACAGTTCAGGGGGAGGTCAAATTCCTAATCTTGCCACTGCCACTCTCCTGCACATAGATATTTTGGTTGCTGAGCAACCCCTTTGTGCTTCTTTCTTGCCCCCACTTTTCACCTCACCTTCATCCTTGCAACAGCTCCCTGGCTCATTCCTCATAAGGAGAGAGTCCAATTATCCTATCCTTGTTGGCAGGCTGCCATTCCTTCAGCCAGGCTTGTAACACCAAATAAACCTTCAACACAACTAAATTTTTCTATGTTTCGTCTCTACGTCATATTCAATAGTATTGCACTGAACCGCTGAAAGTACAATAATTGAAGAAACCTCAATTTCAATTGGAGAACTACTTTCTTAACTTTTGTTTACTTACTGTATGTGTGTGGGAATTCATCTTTTATTGTAAAAGTGTTTTTGAATGTTCTAATATCATTACCAGTCTATTATATTGGGATGATGATCCATGAAAAGTGGTCTATAACATACAGTACATACTGTATGATCAAATTTGAATTTTCATTTTAGACAGAAGGCTTTGAAAATGGTGGTTAATTATACAATTTCTGGACACTTCTTAGACCGAGACTCTTAGCATCCTCTTTAGGAACACTTGTCCATCAATAAGGAGGAGCCATGCCAACAAAGAGGGGCTTCACTCTGTTTCAGTGGGTCAGTGGAAGACGACTATTTCCTGCAGAACAGTAGGAGAGATCGGTAGGTACAGACTATTAGTCCTTTCCATTGAAAGTAGGAGATACAGGTTTTATGTAGAGATATCAAAGTTTAAAATTATGTTTTGTATTTAATTGTTTATCTTCATGGCATATCAAGTCAAATATATCTTGGTAGTTATAAAGCTTCCACATGTTGGTGTATTTTTTCATGATAAATGATTTACATTATTGTGAGACTTCAGCTGTAGTTCAGACACTGGTACTGTATCAATCTCACATGCCATTGAGATGCTTTAATTGTTTAGTATGATTTAATTTTGAGGAAAAAGATGGGTAATGTGATTTATATGTGAGTTTTCTTACAGAGATATTAATGTGGATTTAAATTAATTAAAACAATGTAAGATACTCTCAGTTGTGTCTCAGTGTAAATATGTCACAATGTTTTAGAATTATCTTAAAAAAGATATTAAAGAAGTGAATTATAAAATATAATGTAGTTAAATTAAATATTTTTGGAGTATTTCATTCACAACACACGGCATAAAATACTGCATTTACAAAGTGTGATATATGTATAATATTGTATAATATGTATAACACAGTACATATATGTAATACAAATATTTATTTTACATCCATAATTTATTTCCACTTTTAAAAATCAAGATGGATATCGTTTTTTGTAAATTAACAGGATGGTTTATTTAATGCCTTTTTTTGTGTTTAAAGTATATTTTTTTGTTATTTTAACCATGGGGACAGAGTGACTTAAACTCAGCTTTGTCACACATCCAGATGAGGGGCTATAATAAATTTGTTCTTAGTAGATTTTATAAAACCACCAGCACATATGGAAATTGCATTCACAAGGCTATGTTCAGTAAAAACCACAGGGAGAGACAGCTTACAGAATGAAAAATAGTAGGGGTTTAGGACAGCACCAATAAACAAAGCAGAGAGCTAATGAAGTCAAACTCCCCCTCTTTCCTTTTACACTTTAGGAGATTTGGCAGTAAACATATTACAATTATAGCACCATATTCACGAAGTGTAACATGAACTGTGAGAATTACAAATATTATTCAGTTCTACTACGTCACTGCTAGAAAATAAAAAACAAGCTGTCATATTCACTACTGTGTCTTTTTAGCAGTGGTCATAGGAAATACAATGTACTGTATCACAATATAAAATTTGATGCCCAAAACAAAATGACAGAAAAGTATTCTTTATAGATTTCAAATTTGGACCCACTATTATTTCACAAACATGCTTTACTGCAGAATGAAATGAATGTATAGTACATGAAAATCATATTTGCAAATCTTGTTTACGTTTGACTCATCCAGTACTGTACTCATGGTACACTAAGTTATTCCACAGACATATCAAGTAGAACCACTATAAATGCTTAATTGTTGTTTTTCTCACTTTACAATATCCCTCTTTTGCCAATTAAATCTGTAAAGTGTATTAAGATGTTTGTGAAAAGAGTTAAACAAATTGACAGTAACTATCTACTACAGTACATAACTGTAGTATTATACATTTTAAACAGCCCATGTTTTGAACAATATCTGGTACGTTTTAAGAAATGTAATTGCAAATATATATATAGCTGCACAACTCCTCTTAATATTATGGTATGGTCCTTTGCTTTCTTTAAACAGAAGAAATAACATGTACTGTACTGTATATGCTTTTTCTATATGGGGGAAATATTTACCTCTGTTTTGACTCAGTTTGAATTCTTCCTAATTACATTAAAAGCAGTGTGAATTAAACACATATGAACACAGTCTCCTGAAGAATTTACTGTGTCTAAGTGTATGGCTAACTTTTCCCAACCAAAACATTAACTTCAATTAAACACACATGTTTCAAATATGCAGCAGAGAGTTTTTCACCGCACACTAAAGCAGTAACAAAAAATACATTATATTGTATTTTTTTCAGATCTTACACTGGGAGAAAGAAAAATTCTTTAAATTGTTTCCAAAGAGAAACAATAGTTCTTATTCATAATACTGTATATGCACAATATTTTGTGATATTGAAAATAAACTGGAACCAGAAAATATTATTTTCAAATTTTAAAATGTATTTAGTGACAAAATGGTTTAAGGGGTACAAATAGTTTTCACTAGGCATATCAAACATAAAGAAGGAGCTATGCATCACAATCAAGTTTATTTACAGTACATGTAGAATTTTCCTACATCTAAATATTATTTTACTTATTAAGCCAGCATTTAGAAAAGCAGGGCATTCTATGCATTACCTTATCTTATCTTATGTCTAGTCATCTAGATTCAGATTAATAATTTTTGTGATTTCTTGCATTTTATTTTATTCTTTTAAAAACGTTTGCTGAAGAACCAAAAACTAGATAGAATGTGTGAGGTACTTGCCCCACATTTCAAAGACAAACACAAAAAGCAAAGCATGTGTTTGTAATACAACATTTCATTTTAATGATGTACAGATTATACATTTCATATTCTGTAAGGTTTCCAATACAGTGAAGAACAAACAGACATTCAAAAAAAAAGACACATTATTTCAGAGTTTGGATTACTGGATTCAGTATAGGTTTAATTCTTTTTTCTTCTTTTGGAGAATGTAGGCAGTAGGGGGTCTTTTGTGGTAATCAAAGGCAAAGAAATACAAAGAATTCTGGATGGTTGTGGTTTCTGGTGGCAAATCTCCTAGTCTGAGTGACTTTACCACAATTGAACTGTTGCTTCTCTTGGTCTGGATTTTATGTTCCATAACTATTGCAGTAGCTTTTATATCTCAATGGATAAAAACAACTTAAAAAATTTGTTGTTGTCAACATGATGGCGCATTTTAGTTTTTTAATGGTGAGCTTATTTCTGTAACATTACTAAACTCTCTTTCTTAGATGTTATAGACATTTGCAATCAAGGCGTTAGAGATATAGTGATGAAAATCATGTTTATGGAATTCTAATAATAATTACAACAGAGAGATCTTAGTAATGCATAAATGCAAGACCAACTCATAAAATGGTGGCTATTTTGAATAATTAAGCTATAGACAAAAATCTTGCTTCTATTAATGGTAAATTTACTGAAAAGATACAGCTAAAGTAGAATATTTTGCAAAGAAATTGTATTTTAAGAGAGTGATGACATGCAATGACAAATTTAGGGTTTTGTTAAGTGTTTTTTGAATGTGCAACAGTTGATATCTCTAAAACATGAAGTTCTTCATCATAGGGCACACACACAAACAATTTAAAGACATCCATTAACTTAGCTATAATAGTTTTTGGAGGTGGGAAGAAAATGGAGCACGTAGAGAATCCCAGGTGAAAATGGGAAAACATGCTAACTCCTAAGTTGCCTCAGCCTAAAATCAGACCCAAGACCCAAGAATCAGGAGGTCTTAACTGACACATACAGTATGATTACTCAGGAGTTCTTTGATGCTCACTTTATAAATCATATCAGTAGTATTTTTACTAAAAAGCTACCTTATCCTAATAAAGTACTGATTCTGTTAGCCTGCAGAATTAAACAGTCCTCTGTAACAACATTTTTCATACCTCACTCAGTGGGGCATGAGAATGTTTGTAGTGAGTTTTCATGATTCTCATTTGCAAAGTCAGTGGTCATGTTCCCTGGCAGCTCCTGTCTTTCCTCTTGGGATGTGGAAAATGTGAATGGCTGCAAATTAATTCAGTGTTAAATGGATTTTCATTGAAGTGAAATATGAAATTCCAATAAAGAAAAACTGGGATAAAAGTATTTTTAAAAGTTTGTAACAGACTTATTAGCCGTGTATCTAAATCAAATGATTGCCTCTTAGTGAAGTATTTCTGTGTTAGATACATTTTATTGCAAGAGTTTTTCCATGAATTATTGCTGTTTTATTTATTTAATATTTATTAATATTTAATATTTATTAATTTAATCACAATCCTGTAACTGAACAAAACACATTTGTCAAAACTAGATTAAATTTTATTAAACCTTATCCCAAACTCAGTTACTTGTGAAAAAGAAAGTAGTTTGAATTGATTACATAATTTTTCACGTTCATTTTCAGAAATCTGTAAGATGTTTGATACAGTAAATGTTCTATTCAGAATAGAAGACTACTGTTTTCTCATATTTAGAACGTGTGAATTCAATGAACCATGCTTGAACATCCTTTGAGAACTGCATTTAATTATATTTGCCAAGTGAACTTTGTAATGTGTTTATTTTTTTAATACAGACATTTTTCTTTGTTTTTTTGAAGGGAGACTTCAGTAATTAATGTGGACTTGCATGCCATGAGTGCTGTTTGCCCTACACTTTTTATTTGCTGGCGAGCTTTTATGTTCTTCATTTGGCATGTTGCTTGCCAACAATTTAAGCAGGCTAAGATTCCCTTGCTGCAACACAAGCCTTTTATTGTTGTGTGGAACGCTCCCACAGAATCATGCAGACTGAAATTCAAAGTTGACCTGGACCTCAGTATTTTTGACATTGTGGCTAACCTAAATGAAACATTGAGTGGATCCAATGTTACAATATTTTATCATACCCACTTAGGTTACTATCCATTCTACTCTGATGATGGGGCACCCATCAATGGAGGGCTTCCACAGAATCAAAGCCTTGCTAAACACCTGAGCAAGGCCAGGTCGGACATTGACAAGTTCATTCCTTTTAAGGATTTTAAAGGTCTTGGGGTAATTGACTGGGAGAACTGGAGACCCCAGTGGGTAAGGAATTGGGGTTCCAAAGACATTTACAGAAATAAATCTAAGGAACTAATAAGGAGGCTTCACCCACAATGGTCAGATAGGAAAGTTGAGAAAGAGGCCAAAGAAGAGTTTGAGATGGCTGGTCTGAATTTCATGAATACAACTCTTTTGCTGGCAGAAAATAGGAGGCCCAATGGTATTTGGGGATTCTACCTTTATCCAGACTGCTACAACTATGGCTACAAACAACACCCACAAAAATACACAGGTGAATGTCCAAATATAGAACATGTGCGCAATGACCACTTAATGTGGCTCTGGAAAGAAAGCACTGCCCTGTACCCTTCCATTTACTTGGACTATGAACTTAAATCCACATCAAACACAGTGAAGTTTGTACACTATCGTGTGAAAGAGGCTATGAGAATTGCATCCATTGCAAGGACGGACCACATGCTGCCTGTATATGTTTACTCAAGACCATTTTATGCCCACACATTTCATGTTTTATCTGAGGTAAGAACAGCTTTTTTCTTTTGTTTGTGCAAATTGCTTTTTTGTGCAAATTCTAATGTTACTTAAATTTGTTTTTTTTGAAATACACAAATAGGATTGTCTCACTGACTCTTTCTTTCTGTATTATACATATTTAGTCAGTATTTCATGTTGCTCAATTAAACCAATTAAACATCTTAAGAGCTGCTGATATACTGTATTGTCATTTGCACTGTTAATCCCCAATTGTATTGGATACTTCTGTCATGTGTATTGCAGGAGACAGTGATTTGCCAGACTGATATTTGTGTTTTCATATAGATTGACTTGGTCCACACTATTGGTGAGAGTGCTGCACTGGGAGCAGCTGGAGTGGTCTTATGGGGATCTTCAGAATATGCAAGATCTCGGGTACTGTATTCAGTCATTGTTGAAACAAGAAAGTTAGAAGCTCTTGCTGATAGAGACAAAGAAGTTTTAAACATCACCCTTTAAATTATGTTTAATATTTAAAATATTGGTTTAATACTTGTAATAACTTGTAATACAGTACATCTTGTAATTATTACTTCTAATGATTTCTATTGAGGAATGAAACGGTTGTGCTATTTTTGCTTAGTTTCCTTGTTAGCAGTAAGAATACTGACCTAGAATTGTGAGGTAAATCAAAACCGATTATTAGTGATAACCAACAGTATTGTATGTTGGAGAAGAGTAAACACTTATTTTGTGGATTCATGAAAATAGTAGTCTGGTTGAAAGTTCAGATTTTGATTTTGTAACTTCAAATGCTGGTGATAAGAGTACAAAAATAGAACTAATAAATGTAAGTTAATGTGAAGCACTGTTGATCAAGAAATATTTCTCAAGTCAGTGGAAAGTTTTTATTTTAAATTAATGTACTGTATTTCCTGTTTACAGGTCATCTATGCAAAAAACAGCCATATATTTAGTGTATATACCAAATACCAAACGGGGTAATTACTGTAAAATGTGAAGACAGCAATTGAGAAAAGGCCCACAGTAATTTCTGGAATTAAAACATCTGCAATTAGCTTGATATCTATGATTGAAAAGAGTTTCACAGTGAGTGAAACCGTAAACAGATCCTGTCAGAAAGCATGTAAAACGTCACTGTTTTCTCTTGCAGAAGAATTGTTTAACGGTGAAGAAATACATAGATGGGCCTTTGGGACACTATGTCATCAATGTAACGTCAGCTGCAAAGCTTTGCAGCAAAGCTCTTTGTAAGAAGAATGGCAAGTGTGTTCGGAAAAGCCTGGACAACGGAGCGTTCTTGCATCTTAACCCCCGCTATTTTAAAATAAGGAGTAGCTCAAGCAGTCAAGGCCCTAGATTTTTTGTAAGTGGACACCTCAGCAATGAAGACATCTTTGTCATGAAGCAGAAGTTCACCTGCCAGTGTTATCATGGCTGGATAGGAATATACTGTGAGATGCCTGAATCTTCAATCTTATTTGTTGAGTATAGAAACAGAATTATGAAGGGCATGTTATTCACCCCTTCTCTGCATATTTCCTGTCTTTCTTTAATTGTCTTTCTCTGTTTGTGCCTCATCGTTAAATGCTTACTTTTTAGATAGATCACCGTTAAAAATAAATCTAAAAAAAAAACAGTAAATGCCAGAAGCAAGAGGAGGATCATTTTGAGCATTTAATTCATTTGGTAGGAAAATGGCTAAAATGGTCTCCTCTCATTTGGGACCTTTCTTATGTTCTTATCTCCGAATAACTTATAATAATAATAATAATAATAATAATAATAATAATAATAATAATAATAATTGCTTACACTTATAAAGCGCTTTTCTGGACACTCCACTCAAAGCGCTTTACAGGTTATGGTACAGGTTTATGTATCCTTTTATGCATCCAGAGGCTGCAATATTTTCTGATTTAATTTGGAATGTGTTGTCAATAATTTCTTGATCACATTAGTGTTTGGAGTGAAGGTCTTAAAAAGTACTTTAAAAACAAAATAACTAACTTAAAAACAAAGTATCAGAGTACTTTAATGCAACACACCATCGTGAAACACCAGATGTACCTTATATAATATTAATCCTGTTTTCTAGATGAACATACTTAGTTGGGACATATAAGAGTGTTGTCACAATCGTAAGCCCCTCCTCTTAAGGATGGTCCAGCCCTTTCTTGTTTACCTTTGATTTTCTGCACCTGCCTCCAGTTGCAGCCCCCTTCCTACAAAAGCCAGATGCTCCTACCAATCTGGGCTCAGCTTTGGAAGATGGACATTTGGAAGCCCACCTACCAGCGAGTCCAAGAAGGGCTCGGCGGCATAGGCTTCACAACGGTGTCCTAACCATCTGGGTCCGGGACTGGGAGCACCTGGCCCCTTTACCCTTTTTTATTCCCCCGACCCTTCGCTAGATCCCACTCCGGCTTTTAACTTCATCTTGTCTCCATCATGGATGGACCATCCAGCTCTCAACTTTTGCATTTCCTGGATTTTCTTAAATCCCTTCGGACTTGTTTGCCTTGGCCACGCCCCCCTTTTTTCCCCGTGTTTGTCTCACTCCCCTCCGGATTCTGCCATCTGCATAGGGTCCTAAAAAACGCTTTGTGACAAGTGTGTTACTCATTACATTTACAGTATGTAAAAAATTGCTTAGACGCGCTGGAAAATTGTTAAATGGGAGTATATAATAAATCAAATTCACCAATTATATCAATAGAAAGTAAAAATAAACATGAAGTTTTTTTTATTTATTGGCATCATTTTACCTTGAGGACCATGAGATATTTGTGGTCAACAAGTGGTAATCATGTGATCTTTAGATAATGTGAATAGTAAAGTATATGTAATAGGCACCTTTGGCACCTCTTACTAATTTTTGCATTGCTAATTACAAGGATGTGAATTTCATTCTGTTGAAAGTGCAATGAAATAATGAAAGGCCTTTTCACATTCAACCAACTGCAGCTGTTTTTTTCAATAAACTTTTTGTGCCAATGTACTGTAACTGTGTAAAGAAGTTGTATCACTTAGTAATCACATTGAACATTCTTCTTGCACATTTTGTTGGCCAAACCATTTGAAGACACATTAACATATTCTTATACTATTTTTAAATTGCGATGAACATTCAGTTAATAATGTGCAGATTTTACAATTAAAGTTTATGATTTTAATGTTGATCTAAAACTGAATATTATGCTGTAAGAAAATTATCTCATCCTAGAACCTATGCAAAAATCATTCATAACTGACAGACATTTTTGTTTGGTGTATGGACTTTCAGTTTAAATACCAATATTTGTCAGTATTCAACATCTATAACATATAACTAACATTCCTGTTTCCCGTATAAGCAAAGAGCCTTCAGACCACAATGAAACAGGGAATGAGTGTCTGCAAAAAGGTGGGTGTAAAAATCATGAGAGTGCCACTGATTTGCATTTCAGATAAACATGGTGTGTGTATACGTGAGAGAGATTGACAAACAATTGTAGAACCAGCCCTTATGTGTATGTACATACAGTTTAGAAATAAGTTTAACTCAACTCATTACTTTTTCAGTTGTTTGGTTATACCCTAAGCAATAGAGTGACAAAATACAGCATGTACAGAATAGTGTGATTGAAAAAGGAATGGCAAACTAGCTGTGAAGAATGCAAGAGAGATACATAAAAGGAAGTCCTGGGTATGAGACTTATATATTGTAGTTCAATAGAAGTGTGCAAGATTCATAATATTAATTACTTACACTTATTGGCACTCCACTCAAAGTACTTTACCCATAATGGGGACTCCCCTCCACCACCACCAATGTGCAGCATTCACCTGGATGATGCGATGACAGCCATAGTGCGCCAGAACGCTCACCACACATCAGCTACCAGTGTATGGGATAACAGAGGGATGAAACCAGTTCAAAGATGAAGTTTATGAGGAGGCCATGATTGGTAAAGGCCAATGGCAAATTTGGTCAACATGCCAGGGTAACATCCCTATTCATTTCGAGAAATAGCCTGGAATTTTTAATGACCACAGAGAGTCAGGACTTCAGTTTTACATCTCGTTCAAAGGATGGTGCCTTCCTTTTTAAAGTATAGTGCCCTTGTTACTATACTGGGACATTAGGACCCACACAGAGTGAGTGCCCCCTTCTGGCCCGTCTTTTACCTCTTCCAGCAGCATCTTAGTTTTTCCAAGGAGGTCTCCTATTCAGGTACTGACCAGGTCAGGTTCACACCTGCATATCTTCAGTGGGTTACCAGTTGTACAGGGTGATATGGCTGCTGGCAGAAATCTTAGAATCTAACCTTCCCCTCAAAATACTGTTATAAACTCCATGAAGACTTCAGTGAATACTAGGAGATGATTTCCTGTATATTATAAGTGACAATATTGTTTTATATATTAGGTGAACATCTATTTTATGTAACATAATGACTTTGGAGGCCTGTGGAGTAACACTGACTAGATGAATCAGTGAACATTTGAGTTAGTATGAGACATTTTTGTAAGAAGCAAAACAGTTGTGAAGAAATTTAGCTGAAATGTGAAAATATTATTTGATAGAAAATACAGTTCTATCTATGGAGTTTAACTTATTTTTCTTTTTTTATTATTTTTCCATCACTATAATAAAAAGTTTAAAGTATATCAAGTGCATTCACTAAATAAAAAATCAGAAGCTTTCATCTTGATTTCTTTTAAATTGGTGACTTAATTCTATTCTTTTATATAAACAATTATGTTTTTTTATCATTTAGTTGGCTTTACTATAAGTTTATTATCCTCCCAAATATAAAAAAGAAAGACATTAAAATCAATCTTTAGCTATTGTGAAATTGAACTTGTTTCCAATTGTGAAATCAGAAAACGTACACATTGGGGTTGTTACATAAAAATGCCTTGCAGGTGGAATTGTCAGTGTGCTTTTTTCTCTCAGATGCACACAATTTCAAACTGTTCAATGTAAAATAAATAAACTCAACAAGCAGGGCAAGCTGGTTATTTGTGGCCAAATGACTATGACCTTTAAAGAAGGATAAGCCATCTGCTCAGTGTTAAACCAGAACATTGTTTCTCACAAAGGTAGAGAAAATATCTGATTCTAAAGGAAATACAAAGGAAATGTATTCAACCAGGGGAACAAAAAGGAAAAACTTCAGTAGAAGAAGACTTCTTTAACCCATCCTTAAAAACTTTTTTTTCTCTGCAAGCTACCAATTTGAGTTAGTTCACTGAGTCACCACATAATAGCAGGTTTAACTGAGCAGGCACAGGAAAACTCACTCCTTACTTCTTATTTAACAGGTACTGCACTTGGAGGTTGCAAAGATGAAGGTAAAATATAGATTTTTCTCTTGATTTACGTTATTGGTATGTTATATAATTACATTATTACTATGTCATATACGTGTATTGTGTGATTTACCTTGTTAGTGTCCAGATACCAGTTTCATTTTAATTAAAATTATACTGTACTGTATGTATGTATATTCTTGTAATATTTGCATTGCTCGTTTAGTTTAAGTACACATCAGCCTTTTTGACATTTCCAACAATGTACTGTAGGGAGGCATTTCAGAATACAAACAAATCTGTTCCCTGTTACCTTTTTTTCTGTTATTTTTGATTGCTTACTTAATCAGCTTAAGAACCATACTTCATGTTAAGAATGAATAAATACCTTGTATGGAAAGTTATGATGACATTGTAAAAACAACAACATTTGGGTTGTTTGCATCATATGTTCTCTAATGTGAGAAAGTACATTTGAATGTATTTCAATAGATAATTGCAATTAATTTAAAAAATAACTTTTTAAAACTTAACAATCCACAGAGAATGTGTATCCTTGCTCTCTTATATAGTAGTGATAAAATATTCATGTTTTACTTTTTTAATACTTTTTTAATGCTGTCATTACTCAGTGGAGCTGGATTGAGTTTTATGCATAGTAGATTGGGCAAGACAATTACCTGCGACCTTCTAGTCACCCACAGGACCTATATATAGTACCTATAACATCAAGGACTCAGTGAATCTGAACCTCAAAAATTATTGAAACCAACCCCGATTGTGGAGCATCCCTTAACCCACTTCTCCAGGACTAACACAAGTTCTATGTTTGGAAAGGATTGCAAAACCAAGAACCAGAACTGCTGATTTCATTGACACAGTCTATAATGATGGCACTTCAGAGGATTAACATCACTCATGTACCATAAATGGGCAGCAAAGCTGTGTACAAGTTAGTACTGTTTCCTCACAGGTCCTGGACAGGTACGGCTTCTGTGTGGAGTTTGCATGCTCTCCTTGTGAATGTTTGGGTTTTTGCCAGGTGCTTTGGTTTCCTCTAATATTCCAAAAGCATGAAAGCTCAGTTAATTGGAGGTTGGAGATCACTGTTCTAGAGGGTGCGACTGTGTGTACTGAAAACAAGGCCCTTTATTTTAAAGAACAAGTAGAGGTTTAAGTCTATGCAGAAAAGCTCAATGAAATAGGAAAAAACACAACCTTCTGGCTGTAGAACCTTCTTCAGGCATTTTACTTTTCAGCAAGGAATTAACTTCTACTAGTTTCTGCAGATTGAACACTGATGCAGACCCCCCTTTTAAAATTATATGCTCTAACACTGGTATGCCATGAACTGCGGTATTGTGGTGTCTTAGCAGTCTTCCTGATTGTGCTTTAGAGAAACAATTGACTGTTTGTCATTGCTGAGTTTCCTGAAGCTGCGTTTAGATGTCTCAAAAGAAAATAAACTTATGCCTTTTGAGAGGCATTAAATGTTGAGATGCATTAAAAAGTTTCAAAGTCTTAAATACATAATTAAATATTTGATTGTGATGTTTGTTTTTGTAAGTGGCTTCATTGTTTTCCAAAATGGTTTGTTTTCTTTTTAAGTGGCATTTTGCTCTTCATTCTTGTATTTTTTTTTGCTTTTTGTGTATGGTTGTGCTAAATTCATTCAGTCTGAATTGAATGCATTGTGGAAAACACTACTCCAATAAGCCATTCATTAAACATAATTGTGTTTTATTTTGATAATCCTGATACATACTTTGCTTCAAAAGAAAGCTTGAGAAGAGGTAGCTAAGATGCATGAGATTGTAATATTACTGTGATTCTAGAAAACATTTATGGTGTGGTAAATAAAATCGATTAAATTATAACATTAATAACTTGCTGTATGGGATGTATGCACTGGCGTAAGCAAAGCAAACGTGTAATCATGAAGTTGTAGGGGTATATTCTGGTCTATTATGTCTTAGTGTAAAAGGGCCAGAGGCACAAAACCAGTTATGGAAAGTGACATCACCTGCCTTGAAACACAGACAGTGTGCAATCCTCCCACAACAGAAGATGCAGTCTTTTGATTTATTGGAGCCTAGGGAGTGTTGCCTATGAGCAATCATTATCAAATCCCAGCAGGGGTAGAGCAGAGATACGCCTGTCACGTGCCCTTAAAGGTGTTCCTATATACAGTATATTGGACTGGAAATAGGCAGAAGTTACACTGAAAATGAAAGTCAATTACATATATAATACCATTGCCTCTTGTAAGGGCCTTAACTCTTATCCCAAGCACCTTTATAAATGAACAGTCTAAATTAAAAAGTGGAAGTGTGAGAAATCCTACATTATCAGTATGTTAAATGCTTATGTTGAATAAACAGTCATTTCATTAGAAAGAAAGACAATGGCAGGGGTTATCATCAGAGTAACCATTGATATATATTTTTATAATGTTTTGAAAGTCACATGGTTGTATTAAGTATTAAGATATACAGTATTTTAGTTACATATTGAATGAGTAAACAATCTACAGGCCAGAAAATGTATGGAGTGATACAATTATTTCTTTTTAACATACAGTTTGTTCTTACCTAACTAGATTGTTGTATAAACATCCTGGCTGCCTTTGAAAACCTACCGCTTTGTAAGGAATTCAGTCCAAAGTAAACATACATTGAGGGAAATTATGTCCTTATCATTAAACTCAAATGTGCCACATATTTTAAAGAAAAATGATTATAAAAAAGATATGTTGTGAACATTGGACATATCCCAAGTATTCATTTTCATAAGGAGGTTTTGTTTCCCAAAACAGATTGAGTTAAGTACACAAGAAAAGCCTGTTTTCATATTCTGCAAATGTGCATGGAAACAACTAAATTACAATGTGTACAGCGAATGAAAGGGTTTAGTTTGCTGCACTTGAAAAGACATTTAAATAGGGTATATGGTATTTTTACCCAATTAGATACTATTTCTAGTTACAAAATCAGGTAAAACTCCTTACAAATTACAGTAATTCTATTTAATTACATATATCACATATATTGATGCAGGTGTCATTATTTAGGGGTTAGTGATCACAATATCAAATATTAAAAACCTTTTTTCATTACCTGCTTTGCATGAGGTTGCTGTTTGGGGGCTTCTGTCCCATTTTAACTTCATTATAGTGGCTGGACAATGTCAGTTCACTGGTTTTTGACACCTGTAGATGGCACAGGTGGTCCTAGCAGCTCCCACAAATGTTCAAGGAAGCTCAATTTAAAGTCAGGCATCTATGCTACATACTATAGATATCTCATCTAGCAAGAAAGACTTTGTTGCTTGAGCGGCATGAAGAAGTTCTTTGTACTACTGGAGTATTGTCGAATCAAATCTGAACCACAGTAAGTGCAGCAGGTGAGATCCCAGGACTCAGGTTGCATGAGTTCTGTAGCAGCATTATGCTTGGACGTCCCCATTGATTAATCTGCATCTCTTCACCATGTCCTGCTGGCATTCATCCATGCAAAACCTTGACTCTGGAGGACGTGGCTCCATTGCTTGTGTGTCCAGCCTGAAGTAACTTAATCCAGACTCTGTCACAGCAATGGCACAATGATGTTATTTTCATGAAAAGAGGTCATATTTGTTCCTTTTCTGTATTTTTGTTTTATTTTCACCAAGCCTTGACATTCAACAGGTTAAATCATCTCATGACCTGTGCCAAATTAACTCCCTTGTTAATAAGGTGATTTAATCAATATAGAAAATCAATATGCTCTATTTTTGTAAAAATACACATGCTTAGAGTCATAAGTTTGTATTGATGCTCAGTATATTTTACTATTTATATGCGTAATGGCTTCTTTCTATTTTGTCTTCTTAGTTAACTTCCACTAGATGTAATGTGTTTAATCCCATTTAAAAGACTCCTGAACAGGCCTCACAAAGCAAATTTTCAAGAATGTGTGGCAAGAAACTGCAGTACAGTGTTCACTACTTAGTATTTCAAAATAGCCTGTTGATGTACCAGTGAAATGCTAACAGTTTTTTATTCCTTGCTTCAAATACAGCTTTGAAGAAAATGTTTTACAGCAATTTAAAACAATATTTGAAATAAGAAGTCAAGTAAAAGCAACAAAACCCCTGAGAACAAAGAACTCCTGACAAAGGAACATACTTTTTTGGGAAACACTAAGCAGCAGCTCTAATTCCAATTGTTATTAAGAACTCTCCAGATTTAAAGAATTCCTTGTGATGTTTAAGTATTTATCTTTCAAGGTTTGTTTGCTAAATGTGTACTGTATATACAGTACAACTACACCATATACAGTACTACATGGGATTTGGTGCTTTTGTGGATATCATTGTACAAATGAAAACATTTCTTTCTCCTACTGTACCTCCTCCCTTCCCCCAGTTCTAAGATGAGCCCTGTAGTTATTTCATTGTAGTCACCGAGTCGAAGTGGGCTGCCCTAGGGACCTTATACATTTTAAACAACAACAAAAAGCTTTTGTAAATGTGCAAGAACAACATTGAGGCTTTTCTGTAATACAGTAGGTCCTTGTTTTGACAAGAAGTCAACTGTGTTTGTGAAACTTTGAGGTTCATAATTAAGCCAAAAATTATTGGAATAAGTGATAATTTAGTTTGCTTCTGGGTTGACTACTATAAGGAAGTAGAGATGTTCCCAAGAATATTTTTCACATTAGCTGTGAAAATTAGAGTTCACTAATTTCATTTTTTCTTTCTTGAATCAACATCAGATTCTGTAGTACTGTACAGTATCTGTATTCAAAGCATGTCAGTAGATCTTGATTGTTTTCAATATTAGCATATTGAACACAGTAATATAACACCCGTATTTTACAGGTAGCAGTGAGTCTACCTAACACTCCTGAGCATTTCAATACATTATATAAAACTGAGAAGACATTTACTAAATCATGACATGGAGTAAGATGAGTGCCAAATGACTCAGTATGACAAGCATTTAGAAATCATACATTACTCTTGGCTGGGAGGATGATGTTTGAGGTTAGATTGGTTGCTTG